CTTACCTGTGGCCCAAGGCATGGCCTTGCTTACAAAAAACTTGCGTATCAATGAGTACATTACAGTCACCCCATCACCTTGGCTCACCCCATGCCCCATCTCCTGATCCAAGGGATCGCAGAAGTCGCCAGATCTCGTACCTCTTATAACCGCTCAAATCAAGACCCTGAGGTTCTGTAAATCTTTTGAGGTTCCTGAAGGGTAGGAGGCAGCTTAAGCTCATCCCTGGGGCTGGTAACTTGAACTGCAGGTCTCAGGTGACAGCAGCCACCTCAGCATGAATAATTGAAAGCCAGTCCAGCCTCCTGCTCAGAGTTATCCCCCACAGCAGGCCCTGGACTCCCTCAACCTGTCCTGTGCTCTGGTCTTGCCTAAGCAGGAGCCTCCAGCCCAGGTAAGCAGGGCCCTGGATTGTGGGTTCCCAAGCACACCAGTTCAAGCCCACCGCATCACTCATCTATTCACACCCATCCATACACTCTTTCATTTTTACTCCCCACCACCACCATGGGCCTTGCAAGAAGGCCTGCAAGGAGGTCAGATCTGGATGAGGAAGAGAATGGCCCAGGACATGGGAGGAGAGGCCCATTCCCCATAGGCCTCTGGAGAGAAGAGCTGAGTAGAGGGAATATGTGTGCTGTGTGTTATGTGTATGTACACATTTGTGAAGGGAATTCTAAGACAGCACAGGAGAAGGGAATACAGCGGAGAGGAGATAGGGCTGGAGAATTATTACAGAATCAAAGACTCCTCCTATCCGCAGGGAAGAGCAGGCAGAGGGAGGGTCCTGGGATGGGAAAGAGGACGTCTCACCCTAACACCCTATGGAGTATTTAGATTGCCTTTTACTGAGGCAGGGCACAGTGATGGTGAAGGTGTTTTTGACTGCAAACCTATGCTCTTTTGCTACACAGCAGTGGTCAGAGGAGTCCAAGCAGGCAGAGGGTAGGGGTGGGGGAAGATATCCCAGAGGGGAACTAGTGAAAGGGGCCCTGAAGAAGGGGTGACTTCAGGGATAAAGAGAAACAAGTCAGGGGAACAATGTGAAGATGGAACCAGGGGTTGGGACTGGGAAGAGGTGATTTGGGGCTGGGTGCTGAAAGTAGACAGTATGGAGTCCTTGAAAGTACACAGGCTTGGAATCATACTAACCTGGATTCAAATCCCAGTTCTGCTGTGTGACTCTGGACAAAAGCCTTAGCCTTTCTGAGCCATGGTTTGTAAAACATAAGGATAATTGCTACTGGCAAAGGCTACACAAATAGTTAAATTGTGGGTGTGGGTTTCCCTCCCTCCACCCCAGGACCCAGGTAGGGACCATGTCCCCTGCCATTGCACTGGCCTTCCTGCCACTGGTGGTAACATTGCTGGTGCGGTACCGGCACTACTTCCGATTGCTGGTGGGCACGGTCTTGCTGCGAAGCCTCCGAGACTGCCTGTCAGGGCTGCGGATCGAGGAGCGGGCCTTCAGCTACGTGCTCACCCATGCCCTGCCCGGTGACCCCGGTCACATCCTCACCACCCTGGACCACTGGAGCAGCCACTGCGAGTACTTGAGCCATATGGGGCCTGTCAAAGGTCAGTGTTCCCTAGCCTTCTGCTCCAAGAAGTACCCTCAAGGCAGTGAAGGAATATTTGGGATCTGTTGCTGCTTTACTGGGTGAATAGGGCAGGTTCTTGATCCTCTTTTAGGGCCTCTTTTTCTTTCTCATCTGGAAAAGGGGAGCTTGGACTAAGTCATTTATTCAGCAAACATTTATTGCCACCTCTTTTGTATTAGGAATGTGCTAGGTGCCAGGGAGAGGGGGTAGAGGCCACAGAGATGAACTAGCCATAAATGCTGGCCTCAAAGGAAGCATAATACACAGTGGAATAACCATCTCAGCAGATAACCCATAGCTTTGTAATTATCTGTCTCCACATCTTTCTTCTCCACCATGGAGGCTTCCACATACCATTTAGGGTAGCTGTCTGCCTGGATTTATCTCAATCCCAGCATAAATGCTTTTAGGGTCTTATTTAAGAAATTCGGCTGTGTGGTGGTTCGCGCCTGTAATCCCAGCACTTTGAGAGGCCAAAGTGGGCAGACTGCCTGAGCTCAGGAGTTTGAGACCAGCTTGGGCAACATGGCAAAAACCCATCTCTACAAAAAATGCAAAAATTACCTGGGCATGGTGGCACACACCTGTGGTCCCAGCTACTTTGGAGGCTGAGGTGGGAGGACTGCTTGAGCCCAGGAGGCTGAGGCTGCAGTGAGCCGTGATTGTGCCACTGCACTCTCCAGCATGGGTGACAGAGCAAGACCCTGTCTCAAAAAAAAAAAAAAAAAAAAGGAAAGAAATTCAGAAATTCACTGGCTGAATTTCTGGTGGCTCACTGGCTGAGGCACTGGTGGCTCGTGCCTGTAATCCCAGCACTTTGGGAGACCGAGGCAGGAGGATCACTTGAGCCCAGGAGTTCGAGACTAGCCTGGGCAACAAAGCGAGACCCCTGTTTGTACAAAAAATTTAAAAATTAGCCGGGTGTGGTGGTGAGTAACTGTGGTCCCAGCTACTAGGCAGGCTGAGGTGGGAGGATTGCCTGAGCCTAGGTGGTCAAGGCTGCAGTGAGCCATGATCACACTACTGCACTCCAGCCTGGGCAACACAGCAAGACCTGGTCTCATAAATAAATAAATAAATAAATAAATAGAAGTTCGTCCAATTCCAAGATCAGAAATATATTCAATGAGCAATAAAAGGGGAATGAAACTACAAATTCTAACAGAGACCTTTCATAAATCTCAAAGATAGGGTGGTTGTTTCTGCCTGGGACCTCATGGAGAAAGAGCAACATTTGAACTGAATCTGGAAGTTTTGAGTTGGCCAGGCAGATGGAGATGGGGGTGGGAAGGGCAAAGCCAGCCACATATACACATGTGGCATGAAGGAATGAGACAGCATGATGGATTCTGGGTACAGTTGTTTGGGATGGCTGTCATACAGGCCATAGGTGGGAAATACTGAGAGATGAACCTGGGAGGTAGAATAGGATCAGGTCCAAGGTCCTGAATGCCAGGCTGAGGATCCCAAGTTCAATCCCAAAGGCCTTCAGCTCACAGGAGCCAAGGAGTAATAAGGTCAGATTGGTTGGAAAGATTCCAGGGCTGGTGTGAAGACTACACTGTAGGAGACGGGGACCAGGAGGGCAGTTGGGGCTATGGTACAAGAGACAGATGAGACCCCAACTGGTTGGGAGCTGCAGTGAGGCAGGTGAGCATTTGAGATATCTTTCTATCAGGGGCCCTGCATTCGTCTCCCATGTCTTCTGCAATAGCCATCTCCCCACATAGGTCAGATCCTGATGCGGCTGGTGGAGGAGAAGGCCCCTGCCTGTGTGCTGGAATTGGGAACGTACTGTGGATACTCTACCCTGCTTATTGCCCAAGCCCTGCCCCCTGGGGGTCGCCTTCTTACTGTGGAGCGGGACCCACGCACAGCAGCAGTGGCTGAAAAACTCATCCGCCTGGCCGGCTTTGATGAGCACATGGTCAGTCTCCCATCTCCCCAACCCAGATTTCTGTCACCCCAGGCCTTGCCCTAGCCAGACATCCCTTGTGAGGGACTCCCATCTAAGGAGAAGGAAGCACCTCCACGCTGGGGACTGTGATGCTGGATGGTGTGTCCTCGTGTCCCAAGTCATCTGCACATTATTTTCTGCCGGATGACAAAAGAAACAGCTAAGAGGAAGGCCTCTGGAACCCAGCAAATTTGGGTCCAGCTCTTACTCTGCCTCTTGTTAGCTATGTGACCTTTAGCAAAGCATGCATCCTCTGAACCTCAGCTTCTTCACAGGCAGAATGGAAATTACAATACTGATCCTGACTTCTTAGGTTCTGAGGTCAGAGGAAATGTGAGAACACTCATGGGGAGCTAAGCCAGGACCTGGCATGAAGTAAGCCAGATCCTGGTGGGGTCTTCACTGGGAGAACAATTCCCCCCACCCTCACCTCCAGCTCCCCCTATCCTCACAGGTGGAGCTCATCGTGGGCAGCTCAGAGGAGGTGATCCCGTGCCTACGCACCCAGTATCAGCTGAGTCGGACAGACCTGGTGCTCCTGATACACGGGCCACGATGTTACCTGAGGGACCTGCAGCTGCTGGAGGCCCATGCCCTACTGCCAGCAGGTGGCACTGTGCTGGCTGACCATGTGCTCTTCCCTGGTGCACCCCGCTTCTTGCAGTATGCTAAGAGCTGTGGCCGCTACCGTTGCCGCCTCTACCACACTGGCCTTCCAGACTTCCCTGCTATCAAGGATGGCATAGCTCAGCTCACCTATGCTGGACCAGGCTGAGGTCCAGGCCCAGGGGTACTTACTGATGCCCACCCCCACCCCCACCCCCACCCAAGCAGGGACCTCAGAATCTGCTCCCTTTCCTGTTTGGGGCCTTGACACATGCTGGGCTCAGGGCTAGGGAGTCTCTCTTCCCACCTCTGACCCCTTTCAGCCTCTACACTGACCTCAAGTGTCAAGTTCTATCAGGCTGCTTGGTCTCACTAGGCCCCCTCTTTCCAGGGAGAACCATGGACTGACAGCATTCTTGCTGAGCTCCTGACCCATCTCTGTCACTGATTTGCTGAGTGACTCCAAGGGAATCCCTGCCTTGCTCTGAGATTTAATCTTCTCTCTTAACATGAAGGAAGCTGGATGGGAGAGCTCCAGGGACCTCCCAGTTCTCGGCCTCAGAAAGCCTCCCATCCTCAGCCCATGCCATTCAGGGTGGGATCAGAGGAAGTGGCAGACAGTGAGTTAGAGGCCCTGCAGGAATAGCTGGATGCAAGCTGGGCCAGAGAAAATGGCACAGAACCCTGGACCCAGGGCCAGGCATGCCCTGGCCTTCCCTAACCCTGGCCCACTTAGCCAATTAGGTGTGGCTGATGTCCCTTGAGTGCCCTCTCCCCAAAGCCCAAAAGAAGATGCTGGACTCCTCTGGGCCCCACCAACAAAGAGGGAATAGACATGGGGGAAAAATCACTCCTTTGTCTTTATTAAAGAAACTTAGAAAGAGACCAGACCTGCCAATCAAGGGGTGAGGTACTGGCCAGGAAGGTGGAGTGGGGCTCAGGCCCTGGGGATTTCAAGTGCAGATCGATGGCCTAGGAGGGGCCAAGGAGACCAGATCCTGGCAGCAGCTGAGGAGGTGCCCAAGGGCACTTTCAGGCACTGGGGCCATCAGCTGGTTCTGTGGGCAGGGGTTGGGGGTTGGGATGCAGGGTAGTTTGGGCTGGCCTGGAATCTCTCTGAGGCCACCCTGCCTTGTCTACCTAGATCATCCACTGGTCCTGATCCTGTTCGTTGCCTTCCATGTCCACCTGGAGAGGAGGCTGGGTGTGGGTGGGGAGGGGCCTCAGCCAGCCTCAGCCCCAGATCCTGTCCCTGGCTGGATCCAGGGTTTCTGTACCCTTTGGCCATCAACTGGGTCAGAAGCAGGGGCCCAGGAAGAGAGGCCCTCCCCCATACCCCCTGCCTACCTCATTGACCTCTCCGTCATCAGGCGACTCATTGTAGTCATTCATCTCGTCCATGTCCTGCATGTCCTCATCATCCTCTGAGTCCTCTTCACTATCCTCATCGTCTTCATCATCCTCTTCTTCCTCGTCATCATAGTGCTGGTGGGCAGGACAGAGCCTGTAAGCCCTACAGGCCTGCGTGGATCAGTTCAAGAACTGACCCACTTGAACCTCTCTCTAGGGCCAATGAATGACCCCCCACCCCAACCCTCCCTCCTTGAGTCTAGCAGGCTGGTGCATGTTCTGCAGGACCTTAATGCTAGGCCCAATGCCCACCCCTTCTATCTCTCGTTTTTGCCCTTCACCCAGATCTGAGAACCACAACTGCTCTGGGTGAAAGGCAGGACATTCAGAATTAGAGCAGAGCCTCGGTCCACTGTGGCCCCCACACAGGCCCCACCTGCTAGAGCCACTCACCTCTGAGGCTGGCTTGCCAATAGGAACCAGGTTGTTGTCTTTCTCTGCGATGCTTTGGAGCTGTGGGCAAAGGCATAGACGAAAAAGGCCAGAGCCCAAGTAGGGCAGGTCAGGGGCATGGGACTGGCCCATTCTGCCCAGAAGACGAGCCACACGTGTGGGGGAGAAGCCTCCTCCCAGTTCTCAGGGAGATTCAATCCCTTTCTTGTCATCTGCCATTTATGAACTTGATCTAAATACTTAAACTCTCTGAGCCTCGGTTTTTTCATATAATTATGGTGAGGATGAAGTGAGAGACTTACCAGCCTAGAAAGCGTCATCTGCTAGATCCTCAATAGTCAAAATTATTTCCTGTGCTTTAGGGAAAAGAGCTTGGGCTGAGTGTCAGCAGCCTGGGCTCTAATCTGGCCCAGAAGTCACATGGTACCCCTGTAAATTAGGGTATGAAAAGATGAGAACCTTGGCTCCCTGGCTCCCAGCCTGATTATTCCCAGCTGAGGGCAAAAAGCTCTTCCTGGGCAGATTTCCAAAATAAGGCTGGGTCATGGCCCACTGAAGGGGGTCTCTGTCTGTGCTGGGGTCTCTGTCTGTGCTGTGCTAGCTGCTCACTCACCCAGGCCTGATGCTGCTGTTCCTGCTGCTGCAGCTCTGTCTCTTCCACACAGGGTCGATCCAGATTAAACCACAGTGTCTCAGTCACACGAGGGAAGAGTGAGGGGAACAAAGTGGACATGGCTCCTAGACTGAGGGAAAGGGTCAAGTCAATGTGTTTTGCTTAGTTTTCGTTTTTAATTTGGTTGTAATTTGATTTAGGGATAGGGTGGAAGACAGCAGGAAAGCAGCCCCTCCCACTAGGAATCAGATAGACCTGGCTTTGAGTCCTGGCTCCAACACTTACTAGCTGTTTGACCTTGGCTGAGTCACTTAACCTCTCTGGGCCTCAATGTCTTCATCTGTAAAATGGGGATAATAACAATTATACCACCGTCAAAGTTATTCTGATAATTAAGTAAATAATGGATAAATAAAGCTGTTTGCAGGTTGTTCAAGGAGGGAAGGGAATGGGAGTCAAGTGTAGGAATAGGAATCCAGAATGCAGACTGGCATTATGAAAGTATACAAAATTAGAGGTAGCAGGGTTCTACTGAAATTATCCCTACCTCCTCTATACACTAAAACCTGCTTTTTGCACCTTTATGATGGCCCATGCCACACCCACCCAGTGTCAGAAATTTAGGACACTAACGACCGCTCATGAATCACAGCCAAATGTTGGGGTGGGGGGATTGTAGCATATGCAAGCAGGGCTTAGTAAGACATTCTAGGAGGCATGAATAAGTGGATAAATAAGTAGATGTAAGATTGAATGGATGAACTAACATTATAAGGGTACAATCAGCTTTGAGCGGTTGAGGGAGCCGACCAGGAGTGCTAGATAATCTTTATTAAACTGAGGACAGGCAAACTGAGGCCCAGCGACAGGCAGAGACTGGCTTTAGGTCATACAGTGAGTCGGGGCTTAGAACTCCTCCGTGAAAGGGATGAGCAGGAGAAAAGAATTGATGCTGGTCCTGCTTCTGTCCTAATTTATCTGACCGACCCAGGGCCAGCCGCTGCCCTTCCCTGTATCTCAGATTCCCAACCTGCGTAATTAGGCACGAGAGAAAACACCCTCATGTCCAAGAAGTACTGACAGGCCAGAGATCTCAGCTCGGAAAGCCCAACCCACCGTCGCAAAGCCACCGCCCATTCTTTACTCATTACGGTAATGACCATGCAGTTGACCAACAGAAAGAAAGTAGGGCGGGACTCAAGACAGAAATTTGGCCTTATAGGGTTGCTAAACGCGAAAAAAGCGGGGCCTGGGTAGGGCCAATTAACTGAAAGAAATGCTGGGTGACAGGAAGTGACACCAATGAATGACGAACCTTGTGTGAGGGGTGGGGCTTAGTCTCGAGGAAGCGGCCAATGAACTGGAGCTCTTTAAGGGTTAAGGACTCTCAATATGGAGCTCCTGGGCAGTCGGGTCAAAGGAAATGGGTTTCTGTGGGAGAAGGAATGAAGGGGCAAGGAGACGACGGCACCCTTGTCTCTGTACTTACCGCGCCGGGAAGCTGCAGCCGGCGGCGACCCGGAAGCGCTTCACTCAGCCTGAGCGGAAGAACCCACCAGAATCCGGGACTCACCAAACGCATGCGTCCTTCGTCTCCTTTTGTTCCCTGCTCCCGCCCACTAAACCGGATGTGACGTTGCATACCTTAGTCACAGTGTTAGGGAAGGAAGTGTGACCCGCCTCGAGGCTCAGCCAATCGGCCTCTCCATCCTGGCCCCACTACTACGGCTACATTTAACCCCTGCCGCTTTGTTCCCAGGCAACATTTGCTTGTTAACCCCTTCTGAAGAATAGTTTACAGCAACCTCTTAGTGCGAGGGCCGTTTGTCCTGCTGCATCCCAGAAAACTAATCTGTTACTACTCCAGAATTGCTGGTTAATGTTATGCCCCTCCTGTCTGTGCTCTCTCAGCTTCAGTTTCCCGTTTGAGCACATTCATTCTTTTTTATTTTTGCTCTGAACAAAAATATTTGAGTTCCTATATTACTATATTCCAGGCCTTGCTAGAAACTGGGGATACATCTATGAAAATGGTGGCTTCCCTGGAAGACCTCACAGTCCAGGGAAGCCAAACCCTGCAGACATGCAGTAGACTCAGTGATCTCTCTTAAGGTTGTCTGTTGAATTCTGACATTGGAGATTATATACAGACTTGAATGACTAGTCAGCCTCAGGCACAGCATTCTGTTGCTTGGGGAATCTGCTGCCCTCCTCAGACCTGGGCCAAGTCCCCTTAGAGGTCAACCTCGTAACCTCTCCCATTCCTTCGCTGACGCCTCAGTTCCAGTAACCTCTGACTCAGCTTCTCCTTTAGAGATACTCATGCTTTCTGGAAACAGAGGTCCTTCAAACCCAATTCCTATTAAGCTCCATCACTTACCAGGCTCTTCCAGGGACAGCAGTCGTCCACATTTCCAGTACTGTCCTGGACAGATGTGTGAGTTTTGGCGAGTCCTTTTGCTCTCTGAACTCAGCTTCTTTGTCAACCAGCATCATAATCTCTGCCCAGCCTTCCTTCTATCCTGGGCTGATGTGAAGATTGGATAAGAATTGTTCAAGAGGTCATGTACTGTGCATATTGAATGTGATTATATTGCCAAATAGCACCGTTTGTTATAGTTTTTCATTAAAGAGTACACTTTGCCTCTTGGAAATGACTTTTTCATTTGTTTAACAAATACCTATTGAGTGCCTTAGTATATGTCCGTCACTATTCTTAGTAGTGGGTATACAGTAGTAAACAAAACAGACCAAAAAAGTCCCTCTTTTCATACAGCCTTCATTATGAGAGAGGTAAACAATGAAGAAGATAGATAAATAAAATATGTAGTTTTAAGATTGCAGTAAATACTGAGGAGAAAAATCTGAGAAGTGGGAATAAAATATTTGCAGGGGAGGTGTTTTATTTTTGATTGGGGGGCCAAAGTCACTGGGAAGGTGACTTTTGAGTAAAGGTCTGAAGAAGCAGAGAGCCTTCTGATATTTGTGGAAGAGCATTTCAGTGAGAGAGAATGGAAGTGCAGAGGGCCTAGAATGGCTTGGGCATAGTGTTCTCTAGGGCGAGTAATAGGTAGGACATGAGGAGTTAGGGAGTCAGTGGAGGGTTGTGAGCACAGGGTCCACACAATCTGATTTACATTTTAACTGAGTTACTCTGGCTGTTCTATAAAGAATAGACTGGGCATAGGGGAAACAATGGCAGAAGCAGGGAGACCAGTTAGGAGCCTATTATGATAGTCTAGAGGTAGTGGATGAGAAGTAGTTGAATTCTAAATTTATTTAAATGGTAGAGACTACAAGGTTTGCTAACAGACGTAGAATGCCAGAATAAGAAAGGAGCCACGATTTTTGGGCTGAACAACTAGAAGATGGGCGTTGCAACTGTTTTGAGATGGGAAAGACTGGGGAGGTGATGAGGGAGGGATTTCTTTTTTTTTTTTTTGATGGGGAGCTCAGGTTTGAGTGTGTTGAGTCTGAGATGCCCATTAGAGTAGAGATGTTGAGGCGGCAGGGAGGCATACAAATCTGTAGGTCAGGGCAGAGATCTGGGCTGGATTTGGGAGTCATTGGCACATAGATGGTGTTTAAAGTCATGAGACTGGATGAGATCACCAAGGGAGTGAGTGTAGATGGAAAATAGTGTCCTCCAATATTCCGAATTTGAGGAAACTAGGAAAAGCAACAAACCAGATGGAGAAGGAAGACCAAAAAGATAAGTAGAAAGCTAGGTGAGTTGATGGTATCTTGGAAGCCATGCAAAGAAAGGGTATTAGGAGGAGAAAATGGTCTACTACAGCCTCATTCCATATAAAATTGTGCTTCTGTTTATTTCCCCAGCAGACCATGAGCTCCTTGAGGGCAGGGACTGAATGGTTACTATGTCCCCAGGGCCCAGCATGACCTTCTCCTGGATTCCTCATCTTCCTCCTGTGACCTGTGTCTCCATCAGTTTCTCCACCGGCATCTTTTTCTTACAGGATTCCTACGTCAGGTACCATTTGCCCTGTCCTTCCCGATAACTCCGCCTGCTGGAAATTACCTAGTAACAGAGTTTATTTTGAAGGTCATCAGCCAGGCTCAGTAAGTCATGATGACGGGTTAGCTGGTGACATTTACTGAGTACCAACTGAGTGCCAGACACCTTTCTAGGCCCTGGGGACAGAGGAGAAGCAGAAATAATTCCTGCCCTAGAGAAAAATATAGTGAGTACTAGGACAGTTATAGACAATTATAGAGGAGGGTAATAATTGTTAAAATCAATGTATATAGAGAATACATGAGAACACAGAGGAGGGGAGATGAATGGGTTCTGGACAAACTAAATTTAGGCTTTTGTTCCAGAAAAGAAAACATTTGAGTGGGCCTTGAGGGATGAGTAGGAGTTAAGCCCACTGGTAGATAAGTGGGAAAAGAGGGTGCACAAAGAGGCATCTTTCATTCAAGGGCATGTTTGGAGAACATTGAGAATCTGGGCAGAACTGGATGTGTGGGGTGGAGAGAGATGAGAAAGAATGATAGGGGACCCAGATAGGGAAGGTCTTTGGTGGCCCTATATGGAGTGGATGGGATGGGATCCGGGCATCTTGGGTTTCACCTTTCTCTTATTGCTGACTTGCTGGGGACCCCAGGTAAATGTCTCCCCATTCACAAGCTCCCATGTTCTCTAACATAATAGCCTAACCACGTCGCCAGCTCTGATGTGAGTCCCTGGAAGGGATTCCCCTAGCCTAACCCTTCCCATTCTTAGATTTTTACATTTGCCTTATTTGTGATTTATACAAACCAGGGCCTAGGAATGGAAAACAGGGGTAGGATGGAGATTTCTCAACAGAAATCAATAAATCCAGAGCCCAGAGGCTGAAGATGGAAACCATGACTCTATGCAGAGAATTCTCTAGGATCCAGGAAGGGCCAGATTTGAGTGGTATGAATTCAGTGCTAGTGAGAGCTGCTTACTCATTCCTTCCATAAGCCTTGAGGAGCATGGCTGACCCTGGTAGGGGACAGAGGAGAATGTCACAGTCACAGTCACTACCTTTCATACATATGGAGGGATGGTTGGTCTCCAGAGGGTTTTCCCACTCATAGTCTCCACTTATCCTTAGCCCACCCCTGGGAATTCTGCCTTCATTTAGCAGATGAGGAACCTGAGGCTCAGGAAAGTAAAGCAGCTTGTCTGAGGTGAAGCTAGAACTCAAGAATGTCAAAATCTTGCATTGTTCCACAAATCTTCCTTATGGGCTGGTATGTGCTTGCCGATGGGGACTCACAGAGGAATCCGATTTGTGTCCTAGTCCTCTTCAACTACCCGGTATGGTGTGGGTACCAGACTAACGCAAGTCATTAGGCCCTTTAGGCCAGATCTCTGTGTGATTCATGTCTATTTCCCTGGCACCTTGCACAGTGTCTAGCAGAGTAGTCACTCAACAAATGTTTATATAAGATGGATTTGTTTCCTTGGGTCTAATGGAATTATAGTTCACATGAAGAATGGTATAATAGGGATAGGTTCTTTTTTTTTTTTTTTTTTTTTCGCTCTGTCACCCAGGCTGGAGTGCAGTGGCCGGATCTCAGCTCACTGCAAGCTCCGCCTCCCGGGTTCACGCCATTCTCCTGCCTCAGCCTCCCGAGTAGCTGGGACTACAGGCGCCTGCCACCTCGCCCGGCTAAGTTTTTGTATTTTTAGTAGAGACGGGGTTTCACCGTGTTAGCCAGGATGGTCTCGATCTCCTGACCTCGTGATCCGCCCGTCTCGGCCTCCCAAAGCGCTGGGATTACAGGCTTGAGCCACCGCGCCCGGCCTCAGGGATAGGTTCTAAAAAGAGAAAAGTGGTAATGTTAAAAAGAGAAGAGCAGTGTGGGAGGGGAGGTGGAGAAGGCTCCTCAGGAGATGAGACCTTGCAAGAGGAGTTAGGAAAGAATATTCTAGTCAAGAGCAGACAGCATGTGCAGAAGTGCAGAGGCCTGAAAGGGTGTAGTGTGCCCAGGACATGACATTGACCGAGGGCCTGTTGTGTGGCGATCTTGGTGATGGGCACTACGAAAGAAACAGGACCAGGAGACAGTACCCTGTGCTCAAAGGACAAGGTACACCCTTGGAGGAGGACAGGGACATGCTGAGAAAGTCTTCCTTGAGCAGGGGAGACTTCAGCTGGGTCTTGAAGGATGCTTCAGAGTTTGAGTCAGAGAGGAGGAAAGGGGAAGCCTCCTAGGTGGGAGGGGCCTCCTTAGGCAGGGGCTGTGGTGGGAGGGAATGAAGAGAATGCCCAGGCAGGAGAGCATGGTGTGTGGAGGGCAGGTTGGTTGGGTGGGAGGGGCTGGAGAGCTCCACTGGGTGGGCTAGCTGAGGGAGTGCACCTTAGCCCTTAGCATGGGGTATAAGGCTTGTTCTGCCTCGTGGTCACTCAACACCTCATTTATTTCCCATCATTGTGGCCTCTCTGGACCTGATTCTGAGCTTGGGATGGATAGATGCGTTGGAAGGGATCTCTGTGAATTATCTTCCAGTTCCCTAGAAAGCCAGCCCCAGGAGAGGGGCTCCAGCCAGGTCCCTATTTGCATGGTGGTTTTGCATGTATTTGCTTACCACAAATATATGGTAAGGTTTCCTCACTAAGGTTTAATGGGCTAAGGTTTCCACATTCTGACTATAGCAAAATAGACACGAAGTTTGAAGAGGGGCCCTCTGCATTGGAGGCAAAGGCTGAGGAGACACAGACCTACACATACACACCCCCTCACTTTATGCAGAGGTGGTAGACACAGACCTACATACATACACACACACCCTCACTTTTATGCAGAATGAAGGCTCCCCAGAGATACCCATGTCCTATTCCTATGGTGTCTATCTTACCTGGCAAAAGGGACTTTGCAGATGTGATTAAGGTTAAGGACTTTCACATGGGGTGATTATCCAGGTGGGTCCAATCTATTTACACTAATCCTTAAAATCAGATCGACTAGACAAGGAAGAAGCGTCAGAGAGATACTACACTGCTGACTTTGAAGGTGGAGGAAGGGGCCATGAGCCAAGGAACACTGGCAGCCTCTAGAAGCTGAAAAGGGCAAGGAAATGGATTCTTCCCTAGAGCCTCCAGAAAGGAACAAAGACCTGTTGACATCTTAATTTTTAAAAATTTTTAAAAATTTTTTTGAGACAGAGTCTTGCTCTGTCCCCCAGGCTGGAGTGCAATGGTGGGATCTCGGCTCACTGCAACCTCTGCCTCCCAGGTTCAAGGGATTCTCCTGCCTCAGCCTCCTGAGTAATTGGGATTACAGGCGCCCACCACCACACCTGGCTAATTTTTGTATTTTTAGTAGAGATGGGGTTTCGCCGTGTTGGTCAGGCTGGTCTCAGGTGATCCGCCTGCCTCCGCCTCCCAAAGTGCTGGGATTACAGGCGTGAGCCACTACACCCGGCCCCTGATACCCTAAATTGAGACCCATGTTATACTTGTAACCTACAGAACTGGAAGTTAATAAGCTTGTGTTTTTTGCTGGGCACAGTGGCACATTCTTGTAGTCCCAGCTACTTGGGAGGCTGTGGTAGGCGTGTTACTGGATAGTGCCCGGTAGTTTTAGGCTCTTGGTGTCCTGAACAAAGAACTGGACCAGACACACACAGATAGCAAAGCAAAGCGGCAAAAGCTTATTAAGCACGGTATTACACTCTCGGAGGGAGAGTGGACTGACCTCTGGCAGATGAGATCAACATTAGTTTGGTGTACTCTGGGTCTTTTTGTGTGTGTGTGTATGTGTGTGTGTGTTTCTTCTCTTCCCAAAGCTGCCTAATCTCTAGCCAGTGTCTGCCTTTTTTATTGATAGATATGTTGCTTAGTTACTTTGGCCCTTGTGTGTCACCTGCATCCCATAATTTTAAGTACATGCATGATTTGCAGTCCATATGCACGAGCTTCAATGAGCTAATTACCATACAGGGTCATTTTAAGGATACTTTTTCTCTTTAATGTGCATGCCCATCTCTAAGGAGCTGCCCCTGACAGGTTTGGTCCAGATTTAGGCCACATGGGGGCTTCTTTCTCACTTTTGTTTTGGCTGTTCTGCTTCTTATCTCGCTTCTTGCTCACCTGCCCCTTCAGCTTGCTTCCGTTCCCTGCTTTTACTCATTCTGCCCTTGATCCAACTTTTAATTCCCTTTACTATTCTCCTGCTATATTTTTCCTCTTCCCCTGCTTCAGGAGGATCGCTTGAGCTGAGGAGTTTGGGACCAGCCTGGGCAACAGAGCGAGACCTTGTCTCAAAAATCAATTAATTAATTAATTAGTGTTGTTTTAAGCCACTTAGTTTGTGGTAGTTTGTTATGGCACCAACAGAAAACAAATGCACAGGCACACACATATATCCTCCCACCCCGATGGACAATGAACCACAGTCATACACGCTCAGGCAGACACAGGCAGGGAGACCCAGGAACATCAGCTGGCCCTAAGTAGGGGCTGGGGAGAAATGAAGCTTCAGGTGTGTGCTGCGGGGTGGGGTGGTAAGGCCCGCTCCTTGGCTGGTGTGGAGAAACTTTGACCACATTTATCAGGCTTAACTTTGCCCTGCTTCCTCTCAGTCTTTACATCATACTTTTAGCAACCTTTACAACATTTTGTCCTAAACACTGTTGCGAATACATGTATGAACCTCAAAGACTATACTAAATGAAATAAGCCAGTCACGAAAGGACAAATACTGTAGGATTTCACTTTTCTGAGGTTCCTGGAGAAGTCAAATTCAGAGACAGAAAGTAGGATGGTGGTTGCCAGGAGCTTGGGGAGTAGGGAGTTATTACTGTTTTGGGTTTTTTTGTTTGTTTGTTTTTATGGGTATCCTGTTTCTGCTTAAAGAGTTATTACTGTTGACCCATGAACAGCACAGGTTTGAACTGCATGGGTCCGCTAATATGTGGATTTTTTTCAATCAATCACAGATAAAAAATACAGTCTTCAGAGGATGCAAAACCCACATATATGAAGGGTGGGA